TGTTCTATATTCGATGAAGAATTGTGGTTGTACTAGTGTAAAAGATAGTGAGTGAATGGCTCCCTGGAAATGATCTTTCATCTGAACAACTATAATATTACATGCCTCCTTGGTATCAACAATCAAGTTTGTTTGAGTATGCGCATGCTTTGCACTGGATTCTTCTGGTTGTGGTAGATTCTCTGATTTCTCGTATCACAGCTTCGAAGTGTTCAATTGCTTTGATTAGAGTTGCCACATTAGTTGCCACTTTCTGTATCGTATTGTACAAAATATTTACATGATAAAATACAGAATTAAAGGACAGGAAGAAATTGAACTCCTGATCCCTTAGTAAAGGAGAAAGTCCTGTTGATTCTCGAACTGAAATATCATCCCAGCTAGAATCTTCTTTAATAAGGTCAAAACACTTAAAAAGGGCATCCTTATTATCGTAAACATTGCTTACAACATGGCTGTGAGAATTCCATCTAGTTTCTACAGACTTAGGGACACTGCAGCCACACACATTTCTCAACAAATTTTCTCTTTGAAGAAACAGAAAAGAAGGAACTGAACCCTGAAAGATTAGTAAAAAACAACCCGACTGTCCTTACTGTGAAATATGCTTGCTTTACAACTAAATTAAGCTGATGTGCGTAGCAGTGTATGAACTGGGCATAAAGGGAAAACTTCATTTTAATTTGGACTCCATTTCTTCCACTACTCATGACAGCAGCACCATCGTATGACTGAGCAATCAGTTTCTTGTCAAGGTTGCATGGTTTCAGCTCTCTTCAGAACCAAAGCCAAACCATCTGCTGTTCGGTCTTCGAAAGTGACAAAAAAAAATCTTTTCACAGGTGCGCTACCTTTCACAAACCTCAACAAAATTACAAACTGCGACATGCTTGATATATCAGTGGTTTCATCGGTTTGCACTGACACATATTTGGCTGTCTTAACTTCCTCTGTCATTGTTTTTACGAATATATACACTTGATACATACACTCTAATAATTCATTCTGTATTGCTTTAGAGGTGTATTTTGATAGTTTCAGTATGTAAACGTTTTTCTAGAATACTATCCAAATGCGCCACTTCCGATAGTAAATCCAAGAAAACACCTCGATTGTGAGATGACTGAGTTTCATCACACCCTCGTAGTGGAAGTTCATGAGTTCCGCAGAATTTCAGACAGTTTATTATTATTCTATCTAACACGTGCCTATTCCTATCTACTAACTTATTGTGGCATTCAATTAAAGTACGATATCCCTCATTTAACTGAGCAAGTACGTTGACAGAACCTAGTAATTTAAATTTAACTTCATTGTCAATGTGTAAAGCCGACGCTTCATGTTTTTTTACTCGTTCAGAAAGATGCTGCAAATCTTTAATACCTGATAATGTCCAGCTCTTATCCCCACCAAATAGAACACACACGAAACAAAAGGATGATTCTTTCTCTTCACTTACACTTAACCAGCTTTTCCTATCAAACCACAAAGATGAGAATGATCTTTTCTGGTCCTTTCCACTTTGTTCTAGTTTAAAATCTTTTGGCTGATGAGCACCAAGTTTATTAATGTGCAACTTTCCTTCTAAATTCGATGAAGAAAACGGTGTCTTTAAAAGCGCGTCAATTTTATTCATTTTATGGTCCACAGTATAACAGACTCCGATACACAATATAATATATAAAGAAAAATTAAGGTTCACAATGACACTTGATTTAACCTTTCAACACCGGACTTTTGAAATGGTGGTAAGCTTCAGCTGGTTGGAGTTTAAATGCCCGTCGCTGCTCTGCGTTTAAATGTCCGTTCCTGTTAGGGCGCTTAAACAATTTTAAGCATTGTGTTTAAAAATGCTGTATCTAACATAATTTTTATGATAAATGGATGGAATTAACTTTGTTTGTATCAGCAAAGAACATATTGTTGCATATTATAACGGAAGATTTGAAAATTTTTATACAAAGAGTTATAGGCTATTTTCAATTTTGATGTGTACTATAAAAATGGGTTCCCATTTCTTCACAGAGTTGTTCTGCATTATAAAATCAGTCCTGCTTGTAACACTTAACATAGCAGTCCCTGGTATCATAAAACAGATGGAAGCAATAAAATCATTTGGTCTTCTGCTAGCACTGCTTACACTCTTCAGATTTTCAAATCTTTTGACTAAAGGACAGAAGAATGAAAGCGTGGCTATTCAAGAAAAAGCTTCAAGGGGTCCCTTCTTCAGTGCTAAGACCTTCCGTTGTAGCTGCAAGAGATTATTGCCCTTTCTATGGTCGTGAATCGACAGTTGCATCGTGGCTGAGATACGGAGTGCAATCTGTTTTCTGTGCGTTCATAGTGAAATTGAATACTGTAGTTTCATTTCAACCTATATATACATAAGCAGATAACAAAAAAGGTATGCACATCAAATTTTACTATATATTTTTAACACATTAATCTGCAGAATCTGTAATAAAAGTACTGGCTCATGGATAAGTTTGGGCATAACTCGTATGTATACTCTTTTTTGCTGTTGTTCACTTAGGTATCATTTTAAAATTCCTCTATTAGGGTTTTACTCAAGTCTGTCTTATAATTACTACATATAAAAATAAATACTAATGAGTGCGCGTGCGCTTCTACTAGCGGAGTTTAAATGCCTGACTGGCCAAAATGGGGTATTTTGACCACGACAACCATACTCATCACTGGCCCGATCAGGGAACTTCGGACATTAAAGGTTAATGTGTAATTCATATAATTTCATTTCTGTCTTCCATAACTTTACCTTTCTTGCATGTGTTCTCCATGCCAGGGCATCGCGTGAAAATGGCCATGGTCAGTGTTTGATTTTCTTTCTTACATGTTTAACTTTGGTAATCAGTTAATCTGATAATATTGGCAGATGGTAAGAAACTGTATNGATGACATAAAAATGAGGTTGAATAAATTTAAATACAGGTAGGCCTATAGTATTATGAAGGTACAGTATTACAGTACTACTTTTAATAACATTTGTCTTAAAACGGGTTTTCGATTAATCGTGATTTCCAACCCCACCATTATCCCGGATAATCAAGAGTTGAGTGTACTTAAAGCTGAAATTTACATCATGATTTCAGTTGACTGTTCCTCTCTCAATTGATTGAGATCTACAGAAAAAAAGAAGTCCCTCATACCTGAACAATTTTCTTTTTTAATCTCCTGCAAACCACTAAGTTTGTTGCTAGCTGATATAAAGGTAAGGTAAAGCTGTCCCGGTGCTTAACTATCTAGTAATTAAGCACTACCCCATGAAGACATATGGGGGAGTGGATGTACAGATCCACATTTTCTTGACCTTGGCACTAGTTTGGGGTGAGTTTTCAGCTTTCATGTGTTGGCCACTTTACCCCTGGGGAAAGAGCGCCTGGTACCCATTGGATGGACCCCGGAGCCAGTCTGGACGACATGGAGAAAATTCTCGACCCTACCAGGACCCGAACTCTGACCTCTTGATCGTCCAGCTCGTAGCCACTTGCTATACTGACTACGCTATCCCATCTCCTGCTAGCTGATATTCACAGTAAAGAGGTATGCAAGTCTTAAATGATCCTATCAGTTAAAGCATTGTACTGTCATATTTCTTCACAAGCAGAATCAACACATCTCTATTCTAAGTTTCTTTTTGTAACTAATCCAAGGATCACATAAAATGATATACTGTCTGTAATGTCCAATAAAGCATATTTTCTGTTCATCTCACCAATTATCTCAATACACATGAAATATCACCTCATAACTACTCATCAACAAATTTACTCAGGCAGGAGTGAAGAGCACAGATAACTTAAAAGTGTATGATGCTACAGAATTATGTTTACAAGCTGTCAATTTCAGTAACTATGCTCCAGAGGCTGTGCCATAGCTCAAGCGGTTAGTTGCTGGTTTCCCACCGCGGTGGCCCGGGTCTCGTCAAGTGGGATTTGTGGTGGACAAGGTGGCACTGGGGCGGGTTTTCTCCGAGTACTTCGGTTTTCCCTGCCAATCTTCATTCCACCAAATTCTCCTTCATCATAATCACCTGGGGCAGGTACAATAGACCAATAAGTGGCCATGATGAGTGGACCCAGCTGGACTCCACCACCCCACTAGCGAATTAAAAAAAAATTTAAAAACCTATGCTCCAATAATCACTAGCTTCCACAGTTAAACTAAACATCTTAACATCTGTAGGAAAATATCATGTCTGTTTACTCTCAACCAGAATTAAATGGATACTGATATGTACTGACATTCTGTATCAGGGGAACCAGTTCACTTCCTATGTGCATCAGAAAGGTTAGAAACTCCAATACGTTGCAGTGATGCAACACACAGTAAATCTGTGTGACTTAACAGCAACACTGCAGTTAGCTACAAGTCACAGTCTAAACCCATCTCTACAGTCTATGATTTAGTACACACACCATACTATGTGTGAGGTGATACATGTCTCTTCAGATGACCCCGCTCAGAGAATGACTTATTACACACATCACAACAAAATGGCCGCTCCCCACTATGTATGCGTTGATGTCTCTTCAGACAGCCCTGCTGACTGAATGACTTTTTACACACTTCACAGCAAAATTTCCGCTTACCACTATGTATGCGCTGATGTCTCTTCAAATTGACCTGCTGACTGAATGACTTATTACACATATCACAGAAAAATGGCCGCTTCCCACTATGTGTGCCTTGATGTTTCTTGAGGTTACTATGATCACTGAATGACTTATTACACACATCACAATAAAATGGCCGTTCCCCACTATGTAAGCCTTGATGTTTCTTGAGGTTACTTTGATCATTGAATGACTTATTACACACATTACAACAAAATGGCCGCTCCCCACTATGTATGCGTTGATGTGTCTTCAGATGACCCTGCTGACTGAATGACTTTTTACACGCTTCACAGCAAAATGGCCGCTTACCACTATGTGTGCGCTCATGTGTCTTCAAATGGACCTTCTGATTGAATGACTTACCACACACTTCACAGCAAAATGGCCGCTCTCCACTATGTATGCATTGATGTTTCTTTGGACTACTGTGATGACTGAATGACTTATTAGACATGTCACAGCAATAAGGCTGCTGCTCACCACATACAGATTGAAGTTCATTAAGAGTACTCTGCAAAATGAGAGGAAATAAGTTTGAAACCCAAGTATGTTGGTAGCAGTGTTTCTCAGAGCATCATATGTCAGAGAACAATTTGAGTCTTGTAAATATTGAAAACTATGTATTAGGGTCTTGCTTTTCTAGATGTCAGTTTCAAAAATGTGGCATATGTATATTTGTTTGTAAGGATATTCGTTTTAGTCAAGTTGATTTATTAAATTTTGCAGTGGAAAAAAAATTAGAAATATGTGCTGTTAAATTTGAACTCAATGGCTGGGGGTTAATTATAGTATGTTTATACAGATCTCCTACTGGTTTTTTGTCAATTCTTGGAACTGTTAGAACAAGGTTTATTATTATTGTACAAACCAACTATTGAGTTTTTGGTGTGTAGAGATTTTAATGTTGACTATTTACTAAACGTTAATTGGAAACAGCATTTGTTGGTTTTCTTAAGCACCTACAACATGATACACACTGTTAATTTTTTCCACTAGATTAAAAAATAATCATGCCTCAGCTACTGATAATGTCTTTGTAGATGAATCTAGATTATCTTCTTGTATATCTCTTCATCCAATGAACTGTCCGATCATGATGCACAGTGTCTTATACTCGATACATTTTTTGTTACTGTTAATAAAATCAATAATAAACTAAGAAATAAATTCAAATCTAGATTAATTACTTGTGAAACTATTAATTATTTCTCTAAACAGTTTATCATAATACTGATGTTAACAGTGCTTTTAACAAATTTTTATTAACATTTTTAGACATTTAGGATGCAAGTTTTCCTATTGTTTACTTAAGTAACAACAGTGACAAAAGTTGGATTACTACCAGCATTAAAATATTTTATCAGTGTAAAAGAATTTTATATATTAGTAGACATATTAATGATTCAGTGAACAGAGTGTACATAAGCACAGACAGAGACACAGAGATCAGAAACATAACTGGCATTTCTGCATATATGTGTTGTCTGCCTAACAGTGGACATACAGAGGCATACAGCTCACCTCAGGTTCAGCCTTTATTTCCATAAATGTTATTGGCAGAGGATCCACTTCCTCTTCTGTATCTGAGACTTCTTCAGCCTTAATATTCATGGCCTGATTTGCATCATAACATGCTGGATATATCTCACCATATGGACCCACTAAAATATTCTTTGAATGTGTATAGTTCTGTAAACCACATCTTTATCAATCATGGCTGTACAGCATCATATATGACACAGTGTACACTTTGAATTACTGGGTTTTTGGATTCTGTCCATTGTATGGTATTCTAAAAACTAGAGAACACAACATTTTGAATACTGGATCTGTTTTTGTCCTCCGGGTACTGGGGAGACACCTACTCTGTCGAGTCTGTTTGAAAGAACTAACCTCAATCAATGGTTAGCCCTTTCTAGGAGACCCAACAGACTAGGTGTCTCCCCACTAACCTGAGGATAAAAACAGATCTAGAATTCAAAATGTTGTGTTCTCTAGTTTTTAGAATAACAGATGATGGATAAAATCCAAAACCCCCATAATTCTGTGTTATACACCATCATCAGATCCCTTTAGAATCTGGAATACACTTTCCTTGCTATGGCTAATTTTAATCGCACCTAACCCATAACAGCTGTTTGGACAGATTTCTTCTCTATAACTTTCAAATAATTTAAAAGTATTGAGTTCATTGTGCAGGGACCTTGTGGGAAACAAACTGTCAATATAGCAATACAGAAAATATCTGCTTGTTATGGTATGTATATATTGTGACATGTTGCGCAAAGGAGAACCCCCCCACCGGCAGTGACGTGGCGGGTGAGTCAGCGCTCCCCTCCCCCTCCTCCGCACGGTAACGTAACGGTGACGCAACAGGATTGTTACGGTAGTAACAGCGGTTACTACCGCTAGCGTTACTAGCAACACAGCGCCAGGCAACAAGGGTGCCTATTACGTGGCCGTTTTCCATATTGTCCGATCAAGGCTACATAAGGAGCAGCAAAGGCTATTCACAGGGAGTCAGTCAGTCCTGGAGCTACCTACGAGTCAGTCCTCGAGCTACCTCCGAGTTAGTTCCGAGTTAGCCAGCAACCAGTCAGTTGTATTGTGGCATTTGGAGTGTACTAATTGTGATACTGCAGATAGCAGTAATCGTATATCTGTAATTTGGGTGATTGTAAGTGCGAATGTGAAATAAGATTCGCTATATAAAATACGGCGTGAAGTTATCTGTCGCGTTATACGCCCGATACGCGACAATATTCTTTACTGTGTTCATATATGCCCATCAGAGTTCTGTATCCTTAGCCAAACAACCCAGTCCAAACCCTCCCAAATTATTTCTTTAAAAATCCATCTTAATAACATCTTTCTGCACACAGGTCTCTTTCTTTCAGGTTTTCCGTCCATATTTTTGTATGCATTTCTCATTCTCACATGTGTGCTATATGACTTACTCATATCAGTCTCCTTGAATTTATCACTCTCATACATCATACATCTATAAAAAACTCACTGGATGGATTATGAAAACCAACATAAGCTTGTCACAAAATGTTTAGTTTCTTAGGCTATGACAATTGACAGATGATATATGGAATTGCCTTCTGGGGAAATGCTGTAAATAGTAAAAATATTTTTATAGTTCAAAAAAGAATTATAAGAATTATTATGAACGCAAATCCTAAAGCATCTTGTCGAGGATTTTTTAAATGTTTAAATATACTGCCTTTTTATTCCCAATATATATTTTCTTTATTGCTATTGGTAGTGAAAAATATGCATCTATTTGTGATTAATACTGAAATGTATACTATAAATACACGACAGAGTTTCAACTTACACTTACCATCTGTAACGCTGACCAAGTACAGAAAGGGTGTGTATTATATGGGTATTGTAATATTCAATCGTCTACCATGGAACATATGAAAATTATCAACTAATGTTAAGAAATTTAGATTCGTCACTAAAAATTTCCTTTTAAGGGAATCTTTCTATTCAACAGATGAATACCTGGAATGGTCTATAAATCTGTAATAGTTAAGGTTTATTCTGAATGAAATTCATATTGGTGTAATTGTGATAACACGTACTTATGGGCATATTTTGTATCTGTACATCATTGCTGTGACTCAAAATTTGTTCATTTGTTGTATGTATGTTGACAAAGTTGTGAGTTACAGCTGCTTTTATCATAATATTTTATCTATTTGTTATATTTTACTTTTCATTTTATATCTTATTTTAGTACATATATAAATGGACTGCTTCTATATCTGTGGTGACTGTCTTGCCTGTATGGATTGCTTGAGGTAATAATAAATCAAATCAATCAATGAAATTCTTTCCTGTACACATGAGCACACAACACTCACCATGCCTTCCATCACAACAGGAAATATTTCTTCAGCTCTTTCCAGAACAATTCTTGGCCCTTTGTTGCAAGAGAATGCAGAATCTTTTCCAACCTTGAAACTTGTGATATTTTATGGGATGCAAAGGAATTCACTTACAAGAATCCTAGTGATATAGTTTCTTGGGTGTAACAAGTGTATAGTTTTTAACTACAAATAGCTTCCCAAGTCTGTAAGGAAACAAATTAATTTTTATTATATAAAAACACATATTTATGCGGGATTTTATGTACTCACAGCAGAGACTATGAAGCTTACTGTCTTATGAACCACTGTGTAGTCTGAGAGACAGTTACCTGAGTTTCGAAGGCAGCTGGTTCCTCTGTTCTAAAAGAACCTGGTGGTTCCGAAATGTCGGTAACAAATTACCAGAATATATGGTGTTACATCCTATAAACACTACATCAATACTCCAGATTTATACTGTGTAACCCCAAAGGAGTTTTCACTATATATTTCAACTTCAACCCTAGATTACCAATTCTCATGATTTCCATGATGACAGTTGGATTGGTACGTGTAACATGCGAGAAAGGGCACAAACTTCACATCGTCCTTTGTCTAGTGACTAGCATAGTCTTTACAATGTACTTGGTTGAGGCACTATGCTACATGCCAGAAGGTTATGGGATCCATTGTATATAAGCGTCATATTGTGTACAGAACATTTTATTCAGTTTCAGTCTCACAATATATGCATAATTCTATGATAACTGTACAGTTTCAACAATTATAAATTATTTTGGCCATCATCATGTACTACTCATACAGTCACTGTCAACTCTCCCTGCTATTCCCCTTCCATTTCCTAGTGTTTACAATTGGGGAACTGCCATGTTGTTTATAATGTAGGTTTTTAGTTGTAGACTTCAACAAATACAGTAAATTATACTGGGTATGCGTTATTCGCAATTTTGCCTTAAAATATGCAAACCTGCATCATTAATTCATTCATTTATTTACAGTTCTACAAAATCCATGGAGGCGTCTGCCTCACATATAGAACAAGTCAGCAATACATTATAACATATGAATATACATACGTAATCAGATAGTCATCATCGTCAAAATTTTAAATACTAAATACAAAAGGACTAGTGTAGAGCAATACAAATACAATACAATCAAATTTTGTTTTCCATAATTAAGTTAAAATATATAAAATAATTTGAACCAGTTAAAATTGAAGCAATGCTGATAAATTATTATTGTCTTTATTACTATGATTTTTATTATATTTTAGACGTCCTGTCTATTGATCGTTTTTGTTCAGCACGGTAGAACCAAGTACTTGTAGGGTTTATATTACATATACGTATTTCTCGTGTTCGCTTTTTTTACGGTTGTCTGAAATATAAAGGCTTCTGTTATACTGTTTACATGGGTATTGTAATAATATTTGTGGTTAGTCAGTACCTTCTTTACCGCATTGTATCCTGCACTAGAACACAACTTGCGTTCTTGTATACCAACTACGACCACGTGTTTTTGTGGTAACACTGTTCTGGTGGTTCTGGTATCATCCATGAGCTTTCTGACGTTTCTGACTTCACGGCGGCAATGCTGCCAACATATAAACATTGAGTTGCCAAAGGTTGATATGGCAGCAGCATGGTTGGGTTTGTTTCCGTTCGTGACGTCAGAACCGCCAAGTTGCCAGCCAATAATATTGAGTTGCCACGCTTTGTATGTTGATGTGCGGTTTGGTTTATTGCCGTTTTTCGGATAAAGGACTGAGTGTTTGATTTAACTCATTTTGCAAGTTTACAATCGTAAGAAATGTCTGGAACTGATTTTTACATTAGATATTATGTAGGGCATAAAGGGAAGTTTGGGCACGAGTTTCTGGAATTCGAGTTTCGACCCGATGGAAAGTTAAGGTACGCCAATAATTCCAATTACAAGAATGATACAATGATTCGGAAAGAGGCGTATGTTCACAACTGTGTTATGGAAGAGCTAAAGCGCATAATTCATGATTCGGAAATTATGCAAGAAGATGACTCTCTTTGGCCGCAGCCTGACCGGGTGGGTCGACAAGAGCTGGAAATCGTGATTGGCGATGAACATATATCATTTACAACATCGAAGACAGGATCGCTGGTAGATGTGAATCAGTCCCGAGACCCAGAGGGACTGCGTTGCTTCTACTATTTGGTGCAAGATTTGAAGTGTTTGGTATTCTCGCTTATTGGACTTCATTTTAAGATAAAGCCAATTTAAGAGAAATCATTTGAGATTAAACTTGACAATTTCAAATGGAGTTTATTTTGATTAACTGAACATATATTTATATCCAGTAATCATTCGAATTTTGATGAAGTCATTTTGTAATTAGTTTTTTAAGTTCTGCATAAGGCTAAATATCATAAATGGATAAACTTCCATGTAGTTTTAGTACTGTTTAAACAACTACTGTTGCATATTCTGTATTGTTTATTCTTGTGTTCACGCCATAAGATCATGACTGTGAATAAGACTTGTGGGCTTTCAGTTCATTTTTTTTGTGGAGTTTTTATTTCTACTTTGGAATACAGATGTAATAAAATATTGTGTCATATCTTCAATTACTGCAAATGTACAGTTGTGGAAGAATGATACTGTGATCAGTGCTGAATTAGAATCTGTACTTATGGATATTAACTAATGTTCCACGTATTATGCCTAAGTCTTGGATGGTAGTAAGCAAACTGATATGTTCATGTATTGTAAAAATATATGTTTTAAGATTGTTGATTAGACCACAGAGACTCATAACATGTTACATGTATATTTCAAACAAGGTAGCACACTACATTGTCATTTAGGGATTTATTTGCAACATTAAGTTTGTTTGTTTTGTTTTAATACTTGTCAGTCATCAGTTCAAATGATTTTTAAGACAGCCTCCCAATATTTGATGCCTATTGCAAAGGTAATCTAACTTGTGGGAGATCCATAACCATTTCTTTATTTTTACCAAATGCATAACTGAAATGTATGTTATTACAGAATATTGCTTTTGGCAATAATAAATTATGTAATTACATCATGCAAAAGTTTCTTCTTGCATATTCACAGGTGCCTTTGATGTACTTTCTACATTCTAGACATAGAGCTTTCAGCGGCAGTTTTCATTTGGGAGATGGTAGCTCCTCAACCAGCAAATTTTGTGTTGGAACCCGTATACTGCAGGATAAATCACTTCATCCTTAAGAACATAATTTGGCACTGTCCAGTCCCTTTTCATTTTAGCTTCTGTGATGAAATTTGTTTGCTGCATAAGTGTGTGTGACTAGTAGCTTGCATTGTAAGTCTTCTATCAGGAGACTTCCTCTAAAAAATGTGTGTACTATTAAAAAAAGTGTGAACCTTGGAACTCCCAGGAGTGTTCTGTAGACAGTTTTGAGTCATTTTCTCTGAGATGTTCCCATAGCCTTTGTAGGCCATATATTAAAATTGGCACTATTTTTTTAATCTGAGAGTTATCTACAATTTCCAGCAATGAATGTCTGCAGTGACCTGTATTCCAGACCGCATTTTTTTTTTTGTTAATTATCATAGCGAAGGCTTTCTCAGTAGGCTAACATAATGTACAGTTTGTTGTAGCACTTCACACCTTTTAACCACCCTGGCCATAGGCCACCCTTTCTAAACAGAGTCAGGTTATCTCAGTTGGTGTAGGGACAAGCTATGGACTGGGTGGCTGGGGTTCAATTTCCTGGAGGGGTAATATTTTCTTTTTCTCCACAGTGTCAAGACAGGCTCTTGGGTCTACTTAGCCTCCTGTCCAATGGGTAATGGTTATTTCCCCATCAGTAAAGGTGACAGGGGCATGAAACTGAACACTCACCTCCATCTTGTGCTGAGGTCAAGGATGGTGGAGCTGTACTTCCTGTCATATGTCCTTATGGTATGGTGCTTAATTAAGCACAGGGGCAACTTTAGCTGTTTACATTTACTGTTTATTTCTGCCTATTATACTACAGCATTCAAAATTCTTGCTGTTTGTGGAGACTGTCACGTTGACCACATAGTACCTTTGAGATTGGTGTCCTTAGTAGAAGGAAAAAATTATGATACATACAGGGAAATATATCAGGCTTACAGACACGGAAGTCTGGTACCTACAGGAAATTCCACACAGGAGTTTTCTTCCAATTGTAGGCAGAAAGTTATGTGCATTGGATGCCTTATTCTAGTAAGTATTTGTTTTGCTTTCATGTTTTGTTGTATCATGGAGTTTTGCTTATATTATTTATATTATAAATTAAGACATACAGGGTCATTATTGGAAAGAGAAAAAAATATTTTAAAATGTCAGCACTATCAAGAAACACCTGAAACTTAACTTTCTATGAAGGCTTCTGAAATGTGCAAGGTATGAGAAGTATTTCTACCATCAGCTGTGATCTGGGTAAGTTCTTAAAATGTCAGCACTATCAAGAAACACCCGAAACTTAACTTTCTATGGAGGCATCTGAAATGTGCAAGGTATGAGAAGTATTTCTACCATCAGCTGTGATCTGGGTAAGTTCTATTTGTAATGTGTACTGGCTATTCACTGAACATGCACAGTGCCAGGTGATGCAAATAACACGAGTCCCTGTCATCCAAAAGACTTGGGACGTTCTTAGATGACCTTCCTGTAGCTATACTTCAGCCCATAAGTAATTCAAGACAGTCTGTTATATTCCTCTAAAAACCATCTGGCAATAATTTTTTTTTCACTCTGACCCTTATGAAGACAGCAAGTTCTTCCAAAACAGTAGTAGTTTTTACCACTTTAACAATGTGACATGCAGATGTACCTGCAATGAATAGGGACTACCTTAAAAATTATCTTCTGATGCTAGTTTTCCTTTGGTTGATGTAAATTATGATTTTAATAAATGCAAAGCTCATTAATCTGACAATTCTAATATGTCTTAGTAAGCGTTCCTTAACTTGAAATTTTAGACATAACCTCCAAGTTTCTTACCACCATGTCTGAAATTTGTAACACAGAAAACATGTAACACAATATTTGTAGGCATTTTTTATGTGTAAACATACCAAATTTCTTTCTTTTCATAATAATGTGGCCAAAATAGTAAAATACTGAAGAAATATGTTCATGTAAGATTTGAGGCTTTCACGGTGGTGACTACGAAGAAAGCAGTCTTCTGGGATTTGGCACCGTGTATATGTGGTGTTAACCGACGTTTCGGAGGAACGTATCGCCCCCATCTTCAGGGTAGAAGAAAAAGTATAAGAAATGTTGTCGCTTGCAGATTTCTTATACTTTTTCTTCTACCCTGAAGATGGGGGCGATACGTTCCTCCGAAACGTCGGTTAACACCACATATACACGGTGCCAAATCCCAGAAGACTGCTTTCTTCAAATATGTTCATGTTCACATGTTCAATAATGAACAGAATAATATGACCAAAATAACTTAAGGAATATAATGAACCTTGAAAATCTGATATATATTCTTACATTCAATACTGAACAGAATATGCCTAAAATAATAAAAATATGAATAAAATATGTAAATATGATGATCCCCAATAATTTCATCTATGTATGGACTTAACCTTGAGAGAAGAATATTGGATACAATTTTGTATGAAGTTGATAGCAGTGATATCACCCGATAATTATTACAGTTTTCACCCCTTTTGTGAACTTGCACAATTATAGGCTCCTTCTACTGATCAGTCAGATTTTCCATGTGCCCAATAGATGTAATTAGCTTATGGATCTTAGAACGTAATATTCTGCCTCCTGTTTGAATAAGTTCTGCCAGAATTTGATCACTACCTGGCGATTTATACCTTCTCAATTTTGCAGTAGCACTTTCAACATCAAAAGGGCTAGGATCAGGTACTAATGGCTTAGCTGTATGTATTTCTATCTGCCTAACATCATGGACCCTAGATGCATTCAATAACTGAGAGAACTAGTTCTTCCACATATTCAAAATGTTGCGGGAATCTGCAAGCAGATCACCATTCTCATCCTTCACTAAGTTACTGCTAGGTTGGTAACCCCTCTTAAAGTCATTTATTCCCCTACACAGATCTCTATTGTTCTTGCTCTTACTGTTCATTGTAAGCTCATCAATTTTGTCTTTCAGATATTCCCTCTTTTTATTCCTGAAATGCCTGCTGGTTTCACATCTTATATTGTTCAGATTATCCCCATTTATTTCGCTTGAATCCTGTAACCACTGCAATTTGGCTTGTTTTCTTTGGTTTAATAATTTTGAGGATCCTTCATTGAACCATGGCTTATGCTTCTTGAGTCCATAATAACCTAGACTATACTTGGTGGAAATTTTGATATTCTCCCTAATACTTTCTCAAGTTTCAGGAACACCCACCTCAGTGCCTAAGTTTTCTAAAACCACAAACCTATTTGAGATTTCAACATGATTCTACTCTTTACTCTACATTGTTTAATTGACAATCCTAGGTTGTTGAAAACAAGAACATCTACTAGAGTTAAAAAAGCTCGTTACAAAAAGAGATTTTTTATGGTAACGTCGGCTTCTAGGTTAATTAG